AAATATTTTGAGAGCTCTTTCCTTAAATTTGCTTGATTGAAATCTCCTAAAATGATGGGAAGGGAACCTGGGTGTTTGGCTTCAGCCTCCATAATTTGATCAGCAAGAGTTTGTAATGCCTTGTTTACACAGGCTGTGGAGGAACATACATAGCTATTAGGAGAAATGAGGAGAACACACTGAAGAGTAAAATGGCTTGCAGTTGATATGTAAAGACTCTACGTTTTCATCACAGAACTTATATATTATACTTATATCCTGAGACCAGCTGTTGTTGATATATAAACATCCTCCACCCTTTGTTTTATCTGTTGTCTCTTCAATTCTGTTGATCTAAATGTCTGAAATCCTGGGATGTATATGGTGTTGTCCCCATGAATTTGTGGATTAAGCCAGGTTTCAGTAAAACTGCAGAATTATAGAAATCAGAATTCCATCTATTTAAGAGATGAATTTCATCCATCTTGTTAGCAAGTGAGCATAAATTAGTCAGAAAGATTGAAGGGAGAGGAGTCCCCCCCCCCCATTCCTTAGTCTGTTTAAAATTCCCATTAGTTTACCTCATCTCCTTTTTTGGCATTGCCGCTTTCCACCTTTGTTTGTTGCAATCCATAGCACTGGGGAATTAGTTAGATTCTCCTCTGCATTTGCAAAGACAGGTGGGGGTGAGGAATCAGAAAGCTGCTCCTTAAGGAAACATTGCCTAATTCTTAGCAGATGGTCTCGTGAGTAAAGAAACCATTAGAGAGCATTTCACCAAGGCAGCCGTTTTGGAACCATCTTGGGAAGATTACCCCACTATATTGCTACTGAAATGCATGAAACCAAAGATGAAAACTTCCTAGAATACATATGGGTCAATATAAAACGAAAAAGAATGGCCATAGGTGTATATTATAGGCCACACAATCAAGCAGGGAGACAACATACCTCTCTGAATTGACTGTCTGATCTGCAGATGGCTAGTTCTTTTTTTTTTTTAATATATATTTTTTATTGAATTTCTTTTGTTACATCTTAAAGCATCATGGTATCAACAGCGTTCTTGGCATCTATACAGGTTTTTGGTTTAAATACCATAATACATTATATTACATTTGTCTAATATTAAATAATAGCTTTAACTATGATTACTATTCTTATATCTTTATATAGTTTACAAAATTTTGTTTTACTTTCTTAAGGGTTATTTTGGATAGACTTTTTGTCTAACTTCTTAGTTCTGTTTGTTTGCCATTTATACCAATTGTTCCAAATTAATAAGAATTCAGAGTCATCTTTTTCTTTCAATTTCATTATTAACATATTCATCTCAGCACTTTCTGTTACTTTATGTATTATTAGTTCTTCATTAGGAGTATTTGGGGGTTTCCATACCTGCGCAAAGGCTATTCTGGTGGCTGTTGAAATGTGTAGCAATAGGTATTTTACTTCTTTCGGTAATTATCTTTGATGATTCCTTAGAGGAAGGTTTCTGATCTGAGCTCAATCTGATATTCAGTGATCTCTTGTAACCAATTTTTGATTTTGATCCAGTATATCCTGGTCTCGGGGCATAACCACCACGTGATAAACTGTACTGTCAACTTTTTTTACATTTCCAACATTTGGGACTCATTTTGGGATAAATTGTTGTCAATCTCGTTGGAGCTAAATACCATCTATAAAACATTTTGTACATACAGTATTTTCTTTGTATGCTGCGGATACCATTAACTTATAATTTACGTTCCATATTTTCTCCCATTCCTCTAATTCTATAGTGTATCCAAAATTCTGTGCCCAATCATTGTGCCTTTGACTGCTTCCTCTTCCATTTTGAAATCTAATAAATATTTGTATATTTTAGTTATAAGTTTTTGTTCTGGTCCCATTAGTATTTTATCTAATTGGTTCTGCCCTGTGTCAAATCCAAAATCTTTTAAATCTTTCTTATACTTATTTTGAATTTGCAAATATGGCCACCAATCACTTATGATTCCATTTTCCTTCACTTCTTGATTTGATTTTAATTTTCCTTGGCTATCGAATAGTTCTTCATAGCTTACCATTTTCCGTAGATCTAATCTATTTGGATGGATTATGGCTTCCATGGTTGACAGCCAGCAGATGGCTAGTTCTATTCCCGTGAAAATTGAATCTCCTATAACCAACATTCGCCTTTTTTTTCCTAGGGAGGTTTGGGATATTTTTATATCTCTCACAGAAGCATTTGATGATGCAACTTTTTTAGGGATATTTAATGATACTTCTTTTCTATGTGTCTGCATTTTTTCTTCCAGGGAGAGTCCATGAAATCAATTGCTTAACACCAATGGGGCTGCATCAGAGTGGGTTGGATTAGACAGGGGTTTTGTACTAGGTTTGTGTTTTTTTCTATGAGTGACATGTTTCCATCTGTCTTTTTCTTCCTCTAAGGCAGGGGTGTCAAACTCAAGGCCCGGGGTTCAGATTTGGCCTGCGGAGTGCTTAGATCTGGCCTGTGGGGCCGCCCTGGAAACAGCAAAGGACTGGCCCACAGTGCCTCTGCCAGTAAAAATGGAGGTTGGGAGGACTGCCAAAAGCCCTCCCAAGCTCCGTTTTCACTGGCAGAGGGTTGCAGGAGGCCATTGCAGCCAAAAACAGCTTGGAAACCAATTTTCTCTGGAAGAGCACTTGGCCACCACAGGTGCTCCCGACACGAGTGACGTCAAGCTGGCCACGCCAACCCCGGCCCCCTGAGGTCAAACACAATCCTGATGTGGCCCTCAATGAAATCAAGTTTGACACCCCTACTCGAAGGGAACAATTTTTTTAGAAGTTGTTTAATCATTATTATGTTCAATTTGGACATATTCTTCTTGCAAGGTTTGGGGTTTCTCATTTTGTAGGTTGAGTTTCAGAGTGGTTAGAATTTCCTCTAGACCCTTTACTTTTTCTTTAATAGCTTGATTAGTTTACATTTGGTACATATATAGTTTGGGTATTCTATGGGCATAAGTGTATACATGGAACATGTTCTGCAGATCACAATAGTATCAGTTTCTTTTTCCATGAGTGGATTTTTAAAAAAATTGAAAATGAAAGTGTAGGTTTTACCACAGACTTCCATTTTCCTAAGCACATTCCACAACTTGAAATAATCAATTCAGTTGAAAGTGTTTCTTTAATCAATGAAGTTAGATATTGTTTTTGGCATTCCTTGTTGTTTTTATTTCAATTTTTCCATATCACCAGCAATAATGTTGTATGTTTGGCTTTCTCTAAAGTCAGCTTGAACATCTGGCATCTCCCATTCCATCCATGCATCTAATATTGGAAGATCCTAATATTCTTTTTTTTTCTCTTGATAATGTTGAAATTATTGCTTGGTTTACAATAGCACTGAGAGCAATGAAGCAGATGGGCAGATAGTTGGATTCCAGTTGCACATGGAGGACTTTTCTTGATAATTAGATTGAATACAGAATGGGCCCTTTTTAAGGCTTATTTAAGACCCTTCTTTATTACTTTGACTTCTATGTATGACTTCCTCTGTGGATGCAACCTCAGTAGCTGTTAGTTTCATATAGGTTCCTTCTAACTTATAGATCTTGAAGATGTGCACAGAATTTACAGAGAAACGAGAGTGCTACTTGTTTATCCTACTTTTGCCTTTTTTGCCTGTTTAAAACATCTAGTCTAGGATTGGCCCCTTGCTTAAGAGAAATCAGTCCCATCACTGAAATAATGCCATCTTGTGGGGCTCAGATGTACGTTCTGCACTGCATGTCCTGCCCTATAGAACAGTTTCCCATCAGATAGTCAGATGGTGGCAACCTTGTTGGTCTTCCAGAAGACTGAAAATACCTGGTTTTTCACACAGGCATTAGGCCAGGTTGTTCTTGGAGCCTAATGGTGAATGTGTGATTGAAAATGCATTGGCTTTCATATTTTGTGTTCTTATTAAGTTTGTTGCATTTGTTATTTATGCCATCTTTATTGCTTTCGTGTATAGGCCATCCAGAGTTATTTGCTTAAGATGGTGGCATATAAATTTCCTAAGTAAATAATATGTTTAATGCTTCCTTGAGCACAAGGCTATTACACAATTACAGTGAGTGGGACAAGAACAGCTGTTCTTGAACCGGTCAACCATAGTGATAGTTATACATGCCTTGGTTATATCCCATCCTAATTATTGCAGTGTTCTCTATATTGGGTTGCTGTCAAGAGACCAGAATTTGTACCAGAACCTCACAGCAATGCTGCAATGGTAGTGCCTGCGTGGCACTCGCAGCAATGCTAGTGCAAATGGAGCATGTCCACATGCACACATGCACGTGCACTGGCCAGTCACTCATGTCACCCAGTGACCATGGCCCAGTAGTGGGCCATGGCCCACAGATTGGGGACCCCTGATTTAAATTATCTATACTGACCAGGAAACACTTTATGTTTAATCTGTGGAACTATTTTATTTGTTTGTTTTTAGTATCCCACTTTCATTTGGGCACTTAGTGATATACATAGCATTTGATCCTTCTGTTTCTTCCCACAACAACCCTGTGAGGTAGGTTGGGATGACCGAGAAGGTCTGGATAAAAATAACCTTGTGAACTTCTATAATTAAAACTAGGCTAGAATCTCCTGATACTTGTTCCCCACTCTTCCAGTATTTAGCATGTTGGTAAAAGTGCATCTTGCCATTTTTGTTCATTTTAATTGTTTGTTTATTTATTTGTTTATTTATTATTTGAAGTTTGACATTTATCTTTATTTTGGTTATGTCATTGTTTTACCTGCATTTTGTATTATATATTATTTAAATAACCAGAAACAAAAGTATATATCCAATAAATAAATAAATCGGAGTTAGGACTTTGCATATTAAGTATTCAATCTAGTATGGATTCCTGAATTTAGTTATCTATGCTTTACTTATACTACTTCTAGAAGGTAAGTATAGGGTGACAGTAAATACATTTTTAAAAATCATTTTAATTTCTGGAGTAGTAATACTTTTTCTTAATTTTGTTTAGAATGGTAAAATAGAAATTGCCACAACAGAAAGAACACTATTGGGTTTTCTTCTGGCAAAGATTCATAAAATTGATCCAGATGTTATTGTGGTAAGTAACGGTTTCTGTAATGATCTTTTCCCAATGTTCAGTGGCTTGATTTCTCAAAATATGGAGAAATATTTTAGAGAAAATATTCTAGCTGGTGAATGAAAGGAGATTGCACTGTACAGAAGGAACAATCACCAGCACTGTCTTCCCATCTCACTATAAATATGGGGATTTAGACTAATAGACTTATGTCTATTACCCTGCTAATCTTAGGCAGAGTCCATGTGAATGAATATATAGATGAGATAGCTACTTTTTAAATGATCCAGTTTTTATCCTGTATCACTCAACAATCAAGCAGGTAAGAAGCTCCACTTCGGATAAGCTTACTCCCTGCTGCATTATCCAGAAGGATGAGTGATAGAGGGAATTAGAGGAGGGAGGGGGAGAGAGAGAGAGAGAGAGAGAGAGAGAGAGAGAGAGAGAGAGAGAGAGAGATTGAAAATAGAACCAGGGACTGCATGGATCACTATGAAAGAACTAGTTAGGTAATAGTTTGTAATGTTGTCAAGTCTTCCATTCTAAGAGTGCCATCACCTTCTTTCTCCTTGACCCTGAATGAAACTATTGAAAAAAATTCCAAAAGTCAATGCATCCTTCCCTTGTTTTGTTAGTAAAATTCCACTATTACTTTTATTGCTGAATATAAAGTGTTTTTGGTAAGGAAGAATTGATTTTAGAGAGAATGATACACCTATGCTACATAAACACTAATTCTGTTCTTTTTGAAGCACGTCTTCAAATAGTACAGGCACTTAATATCTGTATATTTTTGAACTAAATATATAGAGCAAATTATTCTGGGCAGTTGTTATTCTAGGCAGAATTATTCATTCATTCATTCATTCTTTTTCAGGGTCATAATATTTATGGTTTTGACCTAGAGCTTCTCCTCCAGAGAATTAATTTCTGCAAAGTTCCTCATTGGTCCAAGATAGGTCGACTAAGGAGATCAAACATGCCAAAACTTGGGGTAAAATGCTACTTACATCTAAACTGCTTTACATGATTAAAAATGAGTTATTTTAGCTGCTGTATTACATCACCGTTACTAAGTAAAGTCACAAGGATGATGTCGTGATCATGCCACTTAGCAACAGCAATGCTGGCAGTCTTGATTGCCTTGTTAACTATGGACTTCACGTAAGTGCAACATAAAACTTCCTGCCAGCTTCACCACTGACTTTGCTTGTGGGAAATTGACAGGATATGTTGGAAATTGCAATCACATGAGTTTGGCTCATTGCAATGTCTTAATCATGAGCTGGGTGCCAAGGATCATGATCACATGACTTGATCATGAGTATGCTGTGACAGCCAGAATTCTGTTGGCCAATAGTAACTATCACTTGTTCATTTCCATCATAAGTTTGAACGGTTCCTGAGTGACTGGCTGTTGAAAGAGCACTACTTGTATTTCTAATGTAATGGAAGCAGATATACCACTAATGCTACCTTGCTTTATTTCTCCTTAGAACTTTTGGTTATCTTCCAAATGTGTATCAGACTTTCCCTAAATCTTTTGAAGTGGGACTGGGGAATGTGATAGAGGAAAGAAGTACTATTCCCTGTTCAATTAAAAAAGTGTATATAATTTGTATCTTGCTATACAGATAGTTCTTCAGTTGAGGCAATAATAGAACCTGCCATTATAATTCATAGTTGGGAGCTGTTAAGTGAACATCGTTGATGTATTTTCATTGTGTTTATTTTTCATTATTCATTTTATAGCTTCTATTATTGTACTTTTGTTCTGTTTACATTCCTTTAATTTTTTTCCTTTTTATTATTGTAAGTCACCTAGACTAGTCCCCCAGTGGCAAATAAATTTAACAAATAAATTGAATAAATCACTTAACTTAATGACCTCCTATTCCTGCTCTCCCCAATGCATTCATTAAATAAACACACAGGTTATTAAATGGACCATAAGATGCCCCAAGTGTGGCACAGGCCTACCTGCCTCAGACCTCCCAAGGCCTCCTCCCATCTCTTGAGATATCGCATGCTCCTCTTTCCACCTCTTCGGGGTCCCCATAGCCACTTGGCTCTCCTTCCCAATCCCATTACAAGCATACATTTAGCTTTTCGAAGATCTCCAGAGCTTAGAAGGTCGGGGTAGGAAAGGAGGATAGGCCACTCCGTTGCTGCACCACATGCCAAAATCCCACAAGCAGCCGTCATTTTCTGAGCAAAAAGTAACACTGGTGAAGCTGTCAGTTTTCCTTTTATCTAGCAATGCTAGGTGCCAGTCTAAGTTCCCCCAGAATTAGCCAGATACTAGCTCTAGCATAGCTAAAATTGGGAGAGCTAAGCTAGCCCTAGAGAGGAGAAGGAACCCTCCCAGGTTTCCTTTCATTGCTAGAGGCTAGCCTTAGCTTCCCCAGCATTAGTGATGAAAGGAAACTGCGAGGATTTCTTCTCCTTGCTAGAGTTAGCCTTAGCTTCCCCAGTTTTAATAATAAAAAGAAAACCAGGAGGATTCTTCTTACTAGGACTATGGTTAGCTCCCTCAGCATTAGTTGCAGCAGCATAAAGCTAGTCCATCTAAAGCTGAGAAAGCTAAGCCTAACTCTAGTGTGGAGAAGAAATCCTCCTGGCTTTTCTTTTGTCATTAATGCTGGGATAGCTAAGGCTAGCTTGCAGTGATGAAAGTAAAACCAAAAGCTTCACCAGTGTTATTTTTCACTCAGAAAAGAACAGCAGCTTGTGGGATTGTGTGATGTGACCCAGCAATGGAGTGTCTTCCTTTTCTATCCCAACCTCCTCAGCTCTCAAGATCTTTGAAAGTTGAGTGATTGATGATGGGAAAACTGCGGGGTAAGAGCAACGTGTGAACCTGGTAGAGTTTCAGAGCAGACCCAGTGCCTTTGGGGACCTTGTGGGGAGAATAGGTTGTAGGAGTGGTTGGTCATAAAGAATGAATGACTGCAGAGCAGAGCTGCTGCAATGGACGTAAATTCAGGACTGGGTCATAAGCATTTTAAAGGTGTCTGTTGTAACTTTGAATGGTCGGTAAGTGACCTGCTGTAAATCAAAGATAAGGTATCAAAGGCAAGTACATAAATGTTTTGTTGACTGCAGTAGTAGTTCTTGGTCTGAAGAAATGAAACTACACAGATAGTCTTTGACTTACAACAGTTCATTTAGTGACCATTCAAAGTTACAACACTGAAAAAGTGACTTATGACCGTTTTTCACACTAATGACCATTGCAGCATCCCCATGCTTATGTGTTCATAATTCAGGCGCTTTGCAACTGATTAATGATTATGACAGTTGCAGTGTCCTGGGTAATACGATCACCTTTTGAAACCTTCTGACAAAGTCAATAGGGGAGCTATATTCACTTAGTAACTGTGTTATTAACTTAACAATTGCAGTGATCCACTTAACAACTAGGGCAAGAAAGGTCATAAAATGGAGCAAACCTCACTTAAAATTGTCTCACTTTGCAGCAGAAATTTTTGGATCAGTTGTGGCCGTAGGTTCAGGACTACCTGTACGTGGCTGTGCCCCAGCTTAAAAGTAACAGTAGCATTTTTTCCTAATGTCAATAAGCAAAGTTGTATGATTTCATTTGTGATGCACCAGTTGACTGCAAAGGATGATTATAATATTTGAGTTGTGAATAATTCAGTGCTTATTGGAAGGCTTGAATTCTTGGAGCAGAGAAATATTTATTAAATAAGATTACTCATAGTAAATATATTTTATTTCATGAAAAATAATATGGAACTGTGGGATTTGATAGAAATGCTTCCTCTTGGACTATGGAACCAAACACATAAATTATAGTTGTTTGAAAACCGTATGTTTTTCTCTTCAGTGCTGTGAGAGATGACAATTCAAATAATTTATCGACCTAGAGCAGGAGTGTCAAACTCATGTCGTCATGGCGGCATCCTGTGTTGTATTGGGACTTTTCTCCTGTCACTAAACTGGATGTGAGTGTAGCCAACATGTGATGCATCCGGCCCATGGGCCCTGAGTTTGACAACTTTGACCTATTGAATCATTTGCAATTTATGTAAACTGTGGCAACTGGCTCAGATGAAATATCACTTGGAACAAGTTCTTAATATATATATATATTCCTTCTTTGTCAAGGGTCGTAGTGGATTTGCTGAGAAGAATGCAACTTGCGGTCGAATGGTTGGTGATATAGAAATTTCAGCAAAAGAGTTGATTCATTGTAAAAGTTACCATTTGTCTGAACTTGTCAGTCAGATTTTAAAAACAGAAAGAGTAGCAATTCCAGCTGAAGAGGTCCGAAATATGTACAGGTATGAGTCTGGATCAGACCTGGGCATTTTACGGCCGGCAGGCCACATCTGGCCCTTTGACTGTCTCTGTCCAAACCAAAGGGTAGTGGTGGTGGCGGCACCTTCCCTCTACAACAGGGGTATTGTCACTTGACATATCTTGATTTTTTTTTTCTCTTTTGCTAAACTGGGCATGGCCATGGCTAGCACATGATGCATCTGTCCTGCGGGCTGCGAGTTGACACCCCTACTCTAGAACAATCCAGTTTCTCATATGGCCCCTTGGGAAAATTAATTTCCCCTGCTCTGGATATTAATTATCATATATCACCCAGCTGTAAGCAGTGGATTAAACAATCATTGGCTTAAAAGGCAGAGCATTAGCAGATATGAGGAACCTTCTAAGACATGGGTGTCAAACTTGATCATGTCATGTGATGTATCAAGATGTTTTTTGCCTTTGCAGAGCTGGGGTGGGCATGGCCTGCACATGATTCATCCAGTCCACGGGCTGCCAGTTTGCTCTAAGAGATGTTCTGGTCTCTGTAGCAGTTTCCCTGTGGTATATGAATGTCTTAGAGATTCAGAAAAAGAGAAAAACTGACTGGAGTTAATAACTTTTTGATTGCCCATTAATGTCATTGGAGGCAGGTTTAAAGCCATATTAGTGAGGGCAGTCCTGAGGAAAGTAGTTACTAGAGGAGAATGTCAAATTACTCAGAATTAAGATATCCTCCTGAAAAATAACTCTTTACACATTTCCATAAAACTTGACAATAGCTTCCATTGGTTCAAAAGAGCCTTTTAAAAATTCTTGTTTCTTGGCAGTAGGAATATCTCTATTAGCACTAATAACAGTCTTACATAAAAGTAAGAAGAAGATCCCTATTAACTTTTTGCACTTGTGATTTATGGATTTGATTATTAGAAAGGGTTAATTATGGAAAGAGGGAAACTTTAACCTTAGAGAAAGAGGATAAAATATAAGTGCATTATATTGGAAATCACTTAATGTATGTTTTGCTTTTTTCTTGTTTCCTATCTATTTTATTTTATTTTCAATTTTCTACCTGTATTATTTTTCTTTGTTTTTCTTAATGTTAACTTAAAATTTGTATTCTTTTGTTGACAAACTTGTATATAAAAAAGTAAGGAGAAGATGTTTGCATCTTGATTATGTTCAAATTTATGTTGGGAAATAGTAATACTTTTGTGCAGATGACTTTGCAGACATTTTCTGAATAACATTTTCCTTGTTTAGGGATTAAATTAAGAGAATTAAGTATTCCTTCAGGTGGTTGAAAATGATATTAATTTTTTTAAAATTGGGCTTTCATTAGATTTTAACCAGCAATTTTGGTTTTTGTACATTCACAAATAATCTGAATTTATTAAAATTGTCTCTGTCTCTCTGTCCTCCCCCCCTTTATTGTAGTGATTCTCATCAGTTACTCTACATGTTAGAAAACACATGGATTGATTCTAAGTACATTTTACAAATTATGTATGAACTGAATGTTCTTCCACTAGCATTACAAATTACAAATATTGCTGGCAATGTTATGGTAAGCCTTTTGTTTTTTAATTATTCAGTCATTTCAATTATTAAATATTATTCAGTTGGATGTATAGTCTCATTTATAAAAAGTAGTTAATTTGTAGTAGAATAGGTCCAAATAAATTAGAATAATTTGAGTATTACAGTGCATTTCTGACACTAAAGGACATTTTTAATGTAGGTTTGTTGATTGAGCCAGATTAATATGTTGTTACTTTCTTTGTTTTACTGAAAAGAATAGAAACAAAATGGCAATTTAGACACTTGAAATACAGATGAAGTAATACCATTTTTGACATTTTAACCTGTGTTTTAAATTATCCCACATGGCTCTTTTTTCTGTTTTTATTTTTTTTCCAGTCCAGGACACTGATGGGTGGACGAGCTGAGCGCAATGAATACTTGCTTCTTCATGCGTTTTATGAAAAAGATTATATTGTGCCTGATAAACAACTCTTCAAAAAGCAGAAGCATGTAAGTATTTTTTCTCAGATAGTTTTCATTTGCTGAAAGCTAATCAGAAGTTCTTGATAATTAAGTCAACCATTTAATAAGTATTAATTCAGACTCAGTCTTTGAACATTGGTATGCACTTGTTTGAGCTCATCATATGTTGGTTACCTCTATAGATTACTGTATCATGTTTCCTGAACCCATTTAATCAATGTCTTTGGTGTGGAATTGTGGGAAGCCAAGGTTTCTAGAATTTTTAAAATAGTCTGAATAAGTTAATGTGGAAATACATGATTAATCCAATCAATCCATCCCATATTGTCATATAGACCTTTACTAGCCAAATAATCCCTTTAAAAATATTTCCTTGAATGTATTTAGCTTGAATTAGAGTTTACATTTTGTCCTGTTCTTATGCCTCATAAGTTGGAAGAAGATGAAGATTTGGAAAATGATCAGAATAAATCAAAGTTAGGACGAAAGAAGGCAGCATATTCTGGAGGTTTAGTTTTGGAACCAAAAGTTGGTAAGTTTGAGCATTAGATCAAATAATAAAGGGTCTTGCATAGTGTTATATTACTCATATGTTATATTTATTTAATAATATGTATTGGGGTGTTTAAAGTGGTTTCTTATATCTTTCAAATGTATTAGTACATGGATGTCAAACTTGATTTCATCAGGGTTGTTGTATTTGACCTTTGGGGGGGCAGGGGAGCGTGATCAGTGACATCACTCATGTCAGGGGTTCCTGTGGTGGCCCAAGCGCTCTGCCAGAGAAAATGGAGCTCAGGAGGGCTGCATGCCAGTCCTTCACTGTTTCCTGGCAGCCCTGCAGGCCAGATCTAAGCACCCCGTGGACCGGATCCGGCCCTTGGGCCTTGAGTTTGATACGCCTGTATTAGTGTTTGTGTACACACATTCCCCCCCCCCAAAAGCAGATTTTTCATTCTTACATTTCACATTTGGTGCCATTCTGAAGAATCTGAAAATTGTATTCTGGTAGTCTTTACCAATCTTTTTTTCACTTTAAAGCAGGCGTATCCCTTAGGGCCCTGAATAATTAGTAATGTGACACTATACAATCATACACTTTTAACATTATTATCTGATTTTATATTATAAAACTACATTATATATTTTATGTGTGGCGTAAAACCTCACAATTCTTCACTCAGTGTGGCTCAGGCAAGACAAAAGACTTGAACACCCATGCTTTGAAGAATCTTAATAAAATTATCAGAGCAGGGCATATAGCAAGAAATTTTATCATTTGACATTTCTGTAGAGTTACATATTATAATAGAAATTTGTCTCTTGTTTCAGGTTTTTATGACAAGTTCATTTTGCTTCTTGACTTCAATAGTTTATACCCTTCAATTATCCAAGAGTTTAACATCTGTTTTACAACAGTTCACAGAATGTCTTTCAGTGTGCACAAAAAAACAGAGGTGTGTTAATACCTTAACATATTTTAATTGGTGATGGTAAAATAAATGATATGGAATTGAGAATGCATTGATCTCCATTTATTATTGTGTATGGTATTAATAATTATTAAAGTCTCCTTTTCTCCTTTTAATATTCATCTTTATATTCAATATCTATATTCTATATTTGATGTTCCTGTATTTTCACTTGTATTTCTCTAATTTTCTTTCAACTTCCCACACATTGCCCACTTTCCTTTAGCCTGTTTCAGTTTTTCTTCAATAACATTAACTTTTCTGACTGTATTTTTTAACATTTTTTCCACAAATTCCCCAGGTTCTTTAGAAATAATTGCTTTTATTTTATTCATTAAATCTTCCTTACATTTTTCTTCTCACTCCTATTTTTCTTTCACTTTCTTGCTTTTTTGAAGGTATGGTAAAGTGATAATTTTCTCTGTAGGTAATTCTACACTCATTATGACTTTTTCAATTTTAAAATTAGCTATTTTCTGTGAATAAACATCTTAATTAATTTGTCAGTCACCAAGGGTTAATCTCAATGCATATTACCAATGCAGCTGTAAAAATAATCGGAAAATTTATACATTAAGAACATATTTATAGAAAATATTTTGATCATTAGCAACAGAATTTATTTACCTAAGGCTATTTTATTAACAGTGGGCTGAGTTTGTACATAATAGTCTTATGCTAAAATGTCCTGAACTACTAATGTTACAAGCTTGAAATAGCTGTTCTGAGTATTCTGAACATTGGTACCAAAGCATGCATTTTGGGATTTTTTTCCATGGCTTCTGGACAAAATGCAGCTTTCCCCCCCCTTTTTTATGTGTTCTGATCTTGCTCAGTTGGCTTAAAAAAAAATCCTATGAGATGTGAAGAGCAGAACAGTAATGAAACAATAAAAGTTCAAGTTCCATTGCTGCTACTGTTAATGGAAGGGAAGAGAGTAGGTGAGGTGAAGGAGGAGAAAAAGTAACAATTCCATCTCTTTGATATGGTACCAAATCTATTTTTAAAAACAAGAGATGTAGCAATTTGTGAGTTACTATACCAGATTTTATAGTTAAAGAACAATTTATCTGGAAAAGATTGAAGAATAGTTTAAAGATACAGAACAACTAAAATACTTTTTTAATTTACAATTCCTACAATTTTTTAATCTACAATACAATTCCTGGCTATCAAGAGACATAACCTTGTATTCGTCATGTCAGTCCATGAAAACTCAAAAGGACACAAATTCAATTTAACCAGAACCACAATTGTAACCCAGGTGAAGTCAAGGGGAGAAAGGGAATTCCTGGAAGCCTGGTTTTCCACCAATAAAGCAATAAACAGACTGTCAGATCCATGTATTTGCCATTCTTAAATGGAAGAAGAAAGGGGGGCGGATACAAGTAATCCTTTTTGATGTAACCTGAATATTCTAACTCTTGTATGATTTACAACTGTGGGCTGAAGCCCCCCCCCCCCCGATGCCTGGAAACTTGTCACCTCTTGGAGAGATAGCAAGACGAGGAGGGGCCATAAAAATTCCAGCTCCAAAAGATATTTCCTGGGAACCTTTTCTCAACTATGTTCCCAGAAAAGGGGTGGGGGAATTAATATGTTGCCTCTTGCTATTGACTTCCTGGTGCAAGTCCTCACCTATGTGCAATATGGGCGGAAATTCCCAACCTAAGGGGGCCAGGTGTGAATCGTCACCCTAGCCCTAGAAGGGGCAGCCGCCAGATGGATGGTAACCCTCCACAAGGTTGATGCCCCAGAGCTGAGGAACCTCAATCGATTCATGACAGCCCTACACCACTGCTTCAGACTCCCTCACCGATCGAAAAGCCTGCAGCCATATTAGGGTCATAAAACAAGGCCATTGCCCTGTAGCCGAATACACCAAGGAATTTCACGATCTAGCTGGCCAAGTTGACTGACCGGAAGATATTCTAGTCTGCTGGTTCAAAGATGGACTCAGCAACGACTTGTACGCTGCCTGCCTGGCCTGTGGGGCTTCTAAGCTTCTGCATGAATGGTACCTGATCGCAGAGGAGGCAGTGATCGACATGGCCCGTAATCAGTACCGCAGCGGCAGGGTTTGGAGAAGATCCCCACCCCAGGGGAAGCGGGAGTTTTTCAAACCCCAAATCACCATGACTCCAAGACCATCTGGTTGTTTTAAGTGTGGAAAGGAGGGCCACCACACAGCAGAGTGCTGTTCAAAAACCCCTGCCAGAAAGCCAGACCACCCATCAAGGGAGAAATCTGGAAAATCATACCCCTGAGGAATAGAAACCACCCTTAGAAGCTGAGAAGCCATGAAGTTTTGATCCCCCCCAACTCAGAGGAAGAATCTTCAATGCCCCAAGAAGACCTGAGCCAATCTGAAAGTGATGCAGAAGATGACCTGCTGGTAAGCGAAACCAATTGAACCACTCAACTTTACCCCTAAGATTGTTTATCTCCACAAAGGGAAGTGGGAGGAAGTAGCAGCATTACTGGATTCGGGATGCACCTGGTGCCTAATCAACCCCACCCTAGTAGGGAAATTGGGCATCCACCTAAGGAGAATGGAAAACCCCATCGCTCTCTGCCAATTAGACGGGACTATAGCAGGGGGGGGAGCCAGCCAGTTTTGCCACAGAACCATTGCTAATAGAACTGGGGAACCATAGCAAGACGCTCATGTTCATTGTAGTCCCGGGAATGGAAGGACCACTAGTCCTAGGACTCAACATGGCTATGGAAATGGAATCCAAAAATAAATTGGAAGAGAGGAGCCATACATTTCCAAAAACATATAGTATTTGCAAACATTACAGAGAGGGGGAAGGAAAGAAATGAGAACAGAGAAACAGCCATGGCCGGCCAGCCTGCTGAACCCATTAACATCCCCAAAGAATACCAGGATTTGGCCGAAGTATTTAGCGAAGAAGTTTCTAATGAACTCCCGCCTCATTGCGTCATGGACTATGCCATTGAAATCCTGCTGGGGGCTAAACTTCCCAAACCAAAAATGTACTGCATGTGCCCAGAGAACTAAATGAACTTAGAGAATTTATCAATAAAAATCTAAAACGGGGTTTCATCGAATCTACCCAACTGAAAATAGCAGCTCAGTATTATTCTGCAAAAAGAAAGTTGGCACCCTACGCCTCTGCAGTGATTTCCGTAATTTAAATACCATCAGCATGGAAAATACGTACCCACTCACCCTCATGAAGGACATGCTAGCTCACCTTTCTAAAGGATTTTTTTTTTCAAAGTTAGATCTATGAGAGGCATACTACTGCATCAGAATAAGGGAAGGGGATGAGTGGAAGACGGCTTTTAACACCCCACTGGGATGCTACCAATTTAAAGTGCTCCCTTTTGGACTACAAGGAGCTCCTGCCGTGTTCATGCAATTAATTAATGAGACTCTCCATGATTTTTTGTACAAAGGAGTTCTTGTTTATCTCGGTTATATTTTAATCTACACCAAAACAAAAGAAGAACACATCAAGTTACTCCGAGTAGTTCTCACAAAACTCCTAAACGCCAAACTATATGCAAAATTCTCTAAATATGAATTCCACCAAGAAAATATCCTACGAGGGATAATTTTCAAATTTTCAAAGTTAGATCTATGAGAGGCATACTACCGCATCAGAATAAAGGAAGGAGATGAGTGGAAGACGGCTTTTAACACCCCACTAGGATGCTACCAGTTTAAAGTATTCCATTTTGGACTACAAGGAGCCCCTGCCGTATTTATGCAACTAATTAATGAGGTGCTCCATGATTTTTTTGTACAGTTTATTTGGATGACATTTTAATCTACATCGAAACAAAAGAAGAGCACATAAATTTACTCCAAGCAGTTCTCATAAAACTCCAAAATGCCAAACTATATGCAAAACTCTCTAAATGTGAGTTCCATCAAGAAAAAATTGATTACCTGGGATACAGAATATTCCATGAGGGAATAGAGATGGACCCACAAAAAGTAAAAGCTGTCGTCGACTGGGAGCCGCCCAGGGGTGGGCTTCTACCGGTTCTATCTGGTTCTATAGAACCCCTTGTTAATTTTCTAAGCAGTTCGGAGAACCGGTAGTTAGAAGGAATCTCCGTTTGGTTTTTTCCACCTTATTACATTCTTGGCAGACAGCTTAGACTTGCTGTCTCTGGAGCGTGTGAGGCTTCTTAAAGGGGAAGGGTTGTTTTAAGATTTTTACACTGCTGTTGGGAGGAAATACTTCCCTGGACAATCAGCACTTTGAAGAAATCATTGAATAATGAAGCAAAGCTTTTAATGACAGGGAACCAAGATCAGTGACATTCAGCAGGGCTTCTTGGCTAGCTAGAAGGATTGACATTCAAACGTGAGTTTACATACCCTTTCTGAGTTTTGGTCTAAAACTGGTTTTTAGTGAAGCTTAATTCTGTGCTTGGTGAAGTTTAATCCTGTGTTTATTCCCTATTCAGCTTTTCAAGCAACAGCAATTGTTGTGATTTAATTATTTGTATTGTGTTTGATTTTTTTCTTGCCTCATGGTTTCTTTTTCTGTTTGGGTGGGGGGTCTTCCTTCACTGCTTTAATACTATCTGGCACTGTCCTTTTGGGGTATACTTCCAAGAGGCAGGATGCAAGCTTGGCACTGATTTTTTTAATTGCCTTTCTGGGGGGCATGTGACCTTTCCTTAAATCTGGATGATTTCCTTAGGATACCTTGTGAAGTGAGTGAGACCAGCTGGTATTTTAAAATGGTGCAAATAGATCTAAGGATTGCTTTTCCTGAGTCTGCTTTTCCTGGAGAGCTTAAATGACCTCTCTGCTAAAGGGTTTCACTTTATGAGCAAGAGTTGGTTGTTTGATAGTTATCACTGCATTTTAACTATTTTCATTCCTCAAGGTGCTCTGGCACCCTGCCTGATTTGTAACCCCGGCTTGCAGGTCTTTTTAATCTAATGATTGGTATTTCGGGCAGCTTTTTGCAAGCAAAGAAGCTTTCTGTATTTTT